CCATCGTCTTGGGGTTGTGCTCGCGCCGGCCGACCTCGCCGAGCCGCTAGCGCGCGCGAGGGAGGCATGTGCGTTGCGCCGCTCAGCGGCCGTGGAGGGCGAGCGCGGGGGATGCGCGCGCTCACTAATAAGTGCTACATTGTGCGTGCTGTATGTCGGTCTGCACACTGTACAGTGCCGCGGTGCCAGTGGGGTGTGAATGTGAACACTGACCCTCACACACTAAGGGTTGGTCAACCATGTGGGTGTCTATGTGTTTCCCTCGGGCAGTAGATTCTTATTTCATCGTCAAAAAGCGCCCGTATTCACTTGCCAAAATCGCGACCCGGGGGTGTTCGACCGGGCTATACAAGGTCGAGGCAGAGGCTTCAATAGATCAGGTTTCACCGCTCTAATTAGGCATAATTATTATATGCCGTTACACCCCGCCACGCGCGCGCCCGGCGCACATCGTCACTCGAGCGAGCTCAGGCTGTTTTCAAAGGTCTGCATCAGGCTCTCTATGATCTGATCGCCCGAGGTCATGTGCGTGCTCGCAACCACGAAATCGACCGGCGGCCGCAGCTGCTGGCCGAGCCAGCGCAGGGCCGACACCTCCGAGTACGTGCAGCCGCCCAGAAAGTAGACCACCGCAACCTCGCGCCGCGCCACCGACCCCTCGGGCAGCGTGGCGGGGGGCTCCTCCTCGTCGCCCTCCCTCGGGGGTGGCTCCTCCCAGAAGAGCGGGCCCGGCAGCCAGCCGAGCGCCTGAGGAGAACAGGCCAATGAGGTAGGCCAAGGAGCGGGTCGTGGGAAGGAGTGGGCATCCGGCCTCCGGCCGAGCGCCTCGGCGCGCGACGACCAGTGCGGCGCGCGGGCGAGCATCCACCCGACCAGCCGGGTCGAGAGGGGGCAGTAGCCTAGCGAGAGGTGGTTCGCTTCTGAATGGTCCGTCGAGCCGATGCCGCCCCGGGAGGAGGGGCGCCTGAGTAGTAGTACGAGAGGGCGGAGGGCAGGTCGGACAAGCCCTCCACCTCGGGCACGTCGTCGGCGACCAAGTCGAGCGCCTTGCGCAGCGACGGCCAGCCCGACCGCGCGTCGTGCCGCCGCAGCAAGCCAACCTGGGCAGGGCGGCGGGGTGGGGCGGTGGGGACTAGGGCGGGGAGGGCGCCAAGAGAGATTGCGGCGGGCTCGAGCGAGGGGCGGCGGTGGCGGGCCTTGTGCAGCGCGTTGAGGGAGAGCGAGGCGGCGGAATAGCCGTACTCGGACAGCACCTGCAGGAGGGCGCCGAGAAGAGGAGCCGGGAAGAGTAGCCGGTAAGAGTAGCCGGGAAGAGTAGCCGGGAAGAGTAGCCGGGAAGAGTAGCCGGGAAGAGTAGCCGGGAAGAGTAGCCGGGAAGAGTAGCCGGGAAGAGTAGCCGGGAAGAGTAGCCGGGAAGAGTAGCCGGGAAGAGTAGCCGGGAAGAGTAGCCGGGAAGAGTAGCCGGGAAGAGTAGCCGAAGCCGGGAAGAGTAGCCGGGAAGAGTAGCCGGGAAGAGTAGCCGGGAAGAGTAGCCGGGAAGAGTAGCCGGGAAGAGTAGCCGGGAAGAGTAGCCGGGAAGAGTAGCCGGGAAGAGTAGCCGGGAAGAGTAGCCGGGAAGAGTAGCCGGGAAGAGTAGCCGGGAAGAGTAGCCGGGAAGAGTAGCCGAAGCCGGGAAGAGTAGCCGGGAAGAGTAGCCGGGAAGAGTAGCCGGGAAGAGTAGCCGGGAAGAGTAGCCGGGAAGAGTAGCCGGGAAGAGTAGCCGGGAAGAGTAGCCGGGAAGAGTAGCCGGACATGCGGGACGGGGTGGGGCTAGTGGGGTGGGCGGGGCGTGTGGCTGGGGCGGCGTGGGGGAGGGGTGGGCTGGGCGGGCCGCCTCCGCGTGCAGTGCGGCCAGCTTCTTCTCCTTGAGCCCGCTCGCGAGGATCGAGTGGAGGCAAGCCAGGCGCAGCACCGACGGGAGCGGCTCAGCGCGGCCGATGGCGCCGTCGAGCGCCGCCTCGGCGTCGGCAGTCGCGCCGGCGTTGGCGAGGGCCTCCTGCTCTGCGGCGATGCGCGCGTGGAAGGCTGGTGCGGCCGTGTGGCGCTGCAGCCGCTCGGCGAGCGAGACGTGCAGCGAGAGGGACTTTCGCATCGCCTCGAGCTGCTGCAGCTTGCGCATGAAGTCGCGCAGCTGGCTCACCGTGTGCGCCGCGTGCCGCTCCTCCTGCCCCTCCTGCTCGCCGCACAAGCAAGGCATGGCTGATGGATGGGTAAATGGGGATGGACTAGGCGAGCCAGCTGCCCCTCCTGCACGTCGCGAGACAGCTTCTGCAGCAGCGGTCCCATGTCGCCGAAGTTGCGGTTGCGCAGCTGCGCGTACAGCGCGTCCGAGCTGTTGAGCTCGCGCTTCACCTACACGCACCCGGCGCCCTCTCCAGCGCTGCGCTCTCCTCCGGCGTCATCGCGCGGCGCGTCTGCGTTGGCGGCCGGGCGGCAGCGGCTACATCTCGGCGACATCTCGGCGACATCTCGGCGGCATCTCGGCGGCATCTCGGCGACATCTCGGCGGCATCTCGGCGACATCTCGCCGGCATGCCGGGCGGCAGACCGAGCAGCTCCGGCTCGACGTCGATCACGCCGTGCCTGCGGGGAGGGTCCGAGGAGGCTCGAGGAGGGCTCGAGGAGGTCCGACGCTCGTGTCCCGCCGGGCCGGATGTTGAAGACGGAGTGGAGGAGTCCCTCGTACGTGAGCTCCTGCAGTCAGTCAGACCGGCTCACTGATCAGTGGAGGCCTTCTTCATCTCTTCTTTGTCGCAAGTTGGCGCCCCCGCCCTCTGCCGGAGCACGCGAAGGTAGCAGCGGGGCGATGCGCATCTCGGCCACCTCTCGGCTCTCTCTCGCGCCGTCAGCAGAGGCGTGACCATGTCGCAGACCCGGTCGAGCAGCAGCAGCGAGCCGATCTGCCGCCCGCCCGCCCGCGGCCCACTGGCGCGCTCGGCGGGCCGACCCGCCTAATGAGTAACGCGTGTACGGTGACTAGTAGCGACTCCTCCGCACTCCGCGCTCGGCGGGCCGGCCTACCTCTTGGCGCGGCTGCCTCATCTGCTTCAGCATCCGGCTCACCTGCTGGGCGCACGAGCCCTTCCCTCGCAGGCTGGCCACCGGCCCGTACAGGTCCTCGAGCTCCAGGATGGAGGAGGCGACCGAGTGGAGGACGGACATGTCGCCGTCGTGGTAGAGCGCGCGGAAGCAGGGCCGCTCGAGCGAGAGCAGGTCCTTGTCCAGAGGGAGCAGGTGGAGGTGGCACTCGCGCACCACCAGCCGGCTGTACACCCCCGCCTCCTCGAGCAGCTTCTCGCACGGCAGCGAGCGGCGCGGCACGAAGTGGAGCGTGGCTCGCGCCGAAGAGCCCTCGGCACACGAGAGCTGCGCCGCGATCACCTGCGCGCTCTCAAACTCGGCGCGCACAAAGTAGACCAGCGGACCGGCTCCTTGCGGGGGAGGGCCCGACTCGAGGTGGTAAATCTTGTCGACGCCGTGCGCGCGAAAGTCGAGAGGCCGAGCGACGAGGCCGAGCGGGCCCGAAAGGCGCTGGTCGAGCACGAGGCGGATGCCGCCGCCGCCGCCCGCAGCAGCAACAGCGTCGAGCGCGGAGAGCAGGAGGCGCCTCGACCGCTCTCGCAGGGCGTCGAGGTCGAGCGCGGCGTTCTCCAGGGCAGGCTGCCCGGAGGCTGACATAGGGCGCGCGCAGGCGGCGATTTTCGGCCGCAAGAGCAGCGCTCAACTGGCTAAAAGAGAAAGCTGAGACCGCAAGAACACAACGGGCTCTCTCACATGACAAGCGATCCACGACAGCGAGTCAGTGTTTACTCGGTTTCAGTCTCCTCAGCTCTGAGGAGCCCCCAAAAGAGCAGAAAATGCCTCGATGCAAAAAAGATGCAAAGACCCAAAGTCGATCACCTCACGCAAGAGAGCGCCCTTGCCACTCCTGCATCTTCTGCGTCTCGGCCCGCTCACGCCCGACACAAGACGTGCGAATGCTCGCGCTGATCGCCATCATGACGGTCGGAATAGAGCTTCGTGATGCCAACGCGACACCTACAACGATTGCTGTCAGTGACGTCAACATGACGGACGCCAGCGCAAACGCCATTCTCGAGTACGACACAGTGGCTCACATCTTCAAGCAGGCGTGTCAGCTCTTAAATATCGTCCCCGATGTAGCTCAGCTCTCTGCACCCGTCGGCTCGCGATTAGGTCGAATCCGCCGTCCTTTCTAACAACTCCCGCGAGTGGCCACCAGCGCTCGTGAGGCGCTTGCTCTTCGAGCACTGGAACCACATCAAGAAACCGAGCTCGAGGATGGTCGTCCCCGGCAAGTGCCAGCGGGTCGTCGAGCACAAGCTTGCCAGACTCAAAAAAGCACAACCGCAGTGCTATCTGTGCGTCTCGAATCAGGCTCATATCTCCCAATCTTACCATAGGCGCTCGCGCCCGACATCTTCAACATCTATGAAGGGTGAAATGCGTCCGAGACGAGCGCGCTTCAGGGTGCTATTCGCGAGGCTATGAAGAGCATCCGCGAGTCGGACCCGATCGCCATCGCCTCTCCCGGCATTGCGAAGGCACCGCCGTGCACATTCGCTCCCAACCCACCCTGTCGGCTCTCAGGTCCCATCTCAACGTGTCAAGAAGTCAATATACCGAGAATCAACAACTAATCAACAACAACTCATCAACGATCAAGGAAGTAGCCGCTCTTCATGCGGTACCTGCCTCTCGAGCAGTAGCTCGTGTCGTCTACTCAGTTTCTTCTCGTGCAGTTGCTCGTTCGAGCTATTTCACCTCACCCCTCGACTGTCGATCTAGGCCCGCGAATCGCTCCTCGTGCTGAGCAAATCAGATGCGACGCTCTTCGACGGCGATACCGTCGCCGAGCTCGTGACGGAGCTGGTCGACATGAAGCGGCGCAGCGTCGACGTGATCCCGGACAAGACACGATTCGTCATCGGTCGGTCGGCACCTGTCCCCGTGTGGCACGACTGGCGAGTCCCATCTCGCCACGGTAACCTGTATTACTACCAGAGGCTACTTCTCGGTGCGCCGTTTCGTGACTCGACGCCCTCGTCGTTCACGCACGGCGCCGACGCCCGCCCCATCGCTGACCGTGCGGTGCGCCGCTCGTGGATCTGCTTATCAAATCACGGGTGCCACTCACGGCCCCGCCTTCATGCCACAGGCGTGCCCCAACGTGAGCGGCTCGCTCCGCGAAGAGTGCCTTCTCCGCGCGCTCATCTCCGCCGGTGGCGAGGCGGAGCAGATTCGGCAGGACGCTACCTCGCGTCACTTCACCCCGGAGCAGGTCGAGAACTTTCTGCGAACGGAGGACGAGTTCAACACGGTGTGTGAGGGCGAGTTCCGCACGCTGCTCGACTTCATGCAGGAGGACGCCGAGCTCGAGCCCGAGCTCTCGACCGACCACAACGACGACGAGACAGGCGAGGAGGCAATTGCGTTCGAGAAGCTAGTCGCCCGCGGCTCGGCTTCCGTTTCGCGGCCGCCGGCTCCCCAACTACTTCCGGACGCTGAGCCAGGCCGGCGCGTGTGGCGTCGGGGGCTGCCAGGGGGGACTACAATCGACGTGAGACTGACGGAAGGTCAGGTCGAGGCTTACCACAACCTCAAGGAGGCCGGCGGAAAGAGGATCCACGACTTTCTGAGCGGCCAGGGTGGCGTGGGCAAGTCGACGCTCATTGCACTACTCGTGCAGGAATGGCGAAGCCAAGGGCTCAACGTGCTGGTGACAGGCTCAAGCGGCAAGGCCGCCGCGCTCCTCGGCGGCGTAACCGTGCACCGCGCCTTCGGCCTGTCCCCCAAAGGCGTCTTTCAGCGCGCAGCACTCGACTCGCCGCGCAGGAAGGGCCACCTGCAGCTTCTCGCGACGCTCGACGTGCTCGTGATCGATGAAGTGTCGATGCTGACGGCGGACACACTCAACGCGGTGGACGAGGCGCTCACCTTCGCGATGCGGCGGGCAACAGCATCGCGAGGATACGACATGTCGTTCGGCAACAAGTCCGTCATCGTGTGTGGCGACCTGTACCAGCTGCCGGCCGTGGAGCGCATCTTCCACGAAGACCAGCCGTACATGTCGCATCGCTGGGTCGAGTTCACGCTATCAGAGCTGACGGAGATCGTGCGCACTGACCCCGACCAAATCGAGCTGGCCGAAATGCTATCTCACGCGCGACTCGGTCATGAGCACCTCACGCAGAGGGACCGGCAGTTGCTTCAGTCGCGAGTCTGCGCCTGCCATGGCGGCCACGTACCGTTCACGGACGTGATGCAGGGTTTGTTGTCGACGAGGATCGGCCTGTTTATCTCTCTCTGCCTAGTGCCAACCATCGACCAGGGCGTCAATCTCTGCAGCCGCGCCCGTCGCTGCGCCCGGGGTGGCGCTGGCGGCGGCGGCGGCGCCAGACGCGCGCCAAGAAGCAGTGGCGCAAGTCGCTCGCTCGCGACTTCGGTGGGTGGCGCGGCAGGTGGCGGTGGCGTGCAGGCACGCGGAATTCGGCACGCGGCATCCCCCCCCGCATGGACACCCTCTGGGGCCCCCGCGCCGGCCCAGAGCTCTCTTGCTCCTCTCTCTTTCTTTCGGGTATGGTCTATGGAGTCTGTGAGTGCGGGCAACGTGCAGGCAATCACGGGCGCTATTTTGAGAGAGATTTTTATTAACCAACAAGAAATCACGACTCTCTCTCTATTTTGTAGACCAGCGGACCGGCTCCTTGCGGGGGAGGGCCCGACTCGAGGTGGTAAATCTTGTCGACGCCGTGCGCGCGAAAGTCGAGAGGCCGAGCGACGAGGCCGAGCGGGCCCGAAAGGCGCTGGTCGAGCACGAGGCGGATGCCGCCGCCGCCGCCCGCAGCAGCAACAGCGTCGAGCGCGGAGAGCAGGAGGCGCCTCGACCGCTCTCGCAGGGCGTCGAGGTCGAGCGCGGCGTTCTCCAGGGCAGGCTGCCCGGAGGCTGACATAGGGCGCGCGCAGGCGGCGATTTTCGGCCGCAAGAGCAAGAATTTCGCGCCTAGCACGTGAAGCGTGAAAATCGCTCTCTGCCAGCGCTCAACTGGCTAAAAGAGAAAGCTCAGAGAAAACAAGAACACAACGGGCTCTCTCACATGACAAGCGATCCACGACAGCGAGTCAGTGTTTGGGAACTACATGATCTAAAAGAAAGAAAAGAAAGAAAAAAGATCACAAAAAGGAAAGCCGGCCCCCGCCGGGCACCCGGTTCCCAGGGAGTGAGTCCTCTCGGCCGTTGCCGCTGGCGCTGGCCTCCTTTGCCGTGTCCGCGCGGCCCTACTCCTCGGACTGATGCGATGCCGAGCACCAGCGAGCGCCCCTGGCTGCACGAGGCGCCGCAGTACGGGCTGCGCATGCTGGCGGCTGTCGACCCAGACAACCCGGCCGTGCTTCGGTTCGCGGCGCCTGCGGAGGCGCTCCCCGAGGACACGAGAGTCAGCGTGCTGTGGCCCGACAGCTGGGGCGGGCGCGACGGCACTACAGGCCAATCCGAGACCGACCCGAGACCGACACGAGACAGAGATCGACCCGAGATCGACCCGAGACCGACCGACCCGAGACTGACTCGAGCCTCGCAACATCACACGAGGCGAACACAACGTGCATGACCCGAGATCGACCCGAGATCGACCCGAGATCGACCCGAGATCGACCCGAGATCGACCCGAGATCGACCCGAGATCGACCCGAGATCGACCCGAGATCGACCCGAGATCGACCCGAGATCGACCCGAGATCGGCACTACAGGCGCCGGCTGGCGGCTCGAGGCGCGAGAGTGCGGCTCGGGCGATCTGGCCGCCTTCGCCGAGGGGCGTGGCACCGCACCACAGCTCGAGCTGAGGCTGCCTGCGGGCGGAAACGGCTCGAAACTGTGGCGATGTGCGCTGTTGCCCTGCGGCGCCACTGACGTCGGCGAGGCCGCTGCGGTGCTGCACGTCCACGGCGCGCCTTCCGAGCGCAGGGTGACTTGGATGGCGCTCACGACGTTGGAGCCGCCGCCGATCAGTGAGGCCGCCGCCGCACTCGTGCCCGCCTTCAGCGACGCACAGCGATTCGAGGCAGAGTACGCCTCCCTCCTGCCACCTGCGCTGCGTTCGCGCGGCTTTGGCGTAGGAGCTCGGCCCGCCCGCCCTCCCGCATCTCCCGGCCGCGCATCGAAGCCACTTCTCTCTGTATGGAATTCCCGATCTCCCACAACCCGTCCGTAAGCTGGTGAGTGCAACTCTAGAGCTCGAGCTCTTGGTGGTCCCGCCCGACCGGACCGAGCACTTTACCAAGAAGAGCGAGCTGCGCGCGGCGATCGCCGCCGCGGGCCTGGCGGCGCGCGGCTCGAGCACTGGCCGGTGGCGGGGTGCTGTCAATCAATTGAAATGGATGAGCTAATTAGGCGCGGCTCGAGCACTGGTCGGTGGCGGTCGATCCGTCGGTTGAGCCATTCTTGCCCGCCTCTGCCGCGGCGGCCTGCGCTGTCGCCGTGCCGCCAGCGCCGGCCGAATGGGCTGAGCTGATGGTGCGGCGCCGCACACGTATTCCGCTGCATGCCGGCGTAGTCCCCGTATTCGTGCTCCCGCGGTGCTTCGGAATGCGGACTCTGGTGCCCTCCCGACTCTGGGGCGCTCCTGACGCAGGTGCGGCGCAAGGGCTGCACCTCCGTCGAGCTCAAGTCGCCGCCGCCGCCGCGTGAGCTGCGGCTGGGCCGCGGAGCCCTCGCCGACGTGCGTCTCGCAGCCGCCCTGCTGCGTTGGCGCGGCTGCGCGGCACCCGACTGCGGCGAGCGCGGCGCGGCGGCCATGCTGCATTGCCACGTCAACGTGCGCTCCTCCGAGGGGGGCGGCGAGCTGCTGTGCGCGCGCGAGCTCCTGAGCGTCTTTTGCGCCTGGCTGCAGTTCGAGCACGTTGCCGCGTCGCTGACTCGCTCGTGGGTGCGGCGTGACCGTTGGTGTGCGCCGCTCTATGCCACGGGGCCCGAGTTTTCCTTTAGCGACAAGCCGTGGGCGCAGGGAGGACACAGGCCGTTACCGCCGCACTTGCTCGACGCGCCGGCCTTCCTGCGTCGCGCGCACACGCTGTGGCGTGGCGAGTGCTGCGCGCTGGCGAGCGAGGAGGAGCGCGTGCAGCGCCTTTTCGCGGTGACACCGGGGCGGCTGGCGTCGCTCAACGTCGAGGCGGTGCTCAAGACGGGCACGTACGAGTTCCGCCGCCACCACGCCACCACCTGCGGCGACGCGGCGCGCAACTGGTGTCTCTTCTGCGTGGCCTTTGTCGAGGCGGCGCGACCAGGCGACGGTGCCTGCCTCGGGCGCGGCGCTGAGGCGCTTCTGGACGCGCAGAGCCCGGAGCAGGCGCTCACGAGGCTGCGCGAGGCGCAGCTGCTCGCCACCCGAGAGGGGCTCGTTGCGCTGCTCGCGCGGGTGCTAGGGGAGGGCGAGGCGCGCGCTCTGGTGGAGGCCATGGCAGCAGAGAGCTGCGTCTGATGAGGTGTCGTGAAGTTGAATTCTTCCAAAACCTGCCCTGGTCAGGAGAGTGCGTTTGACGGACCCTAGAGGCCCCTAGGCCTACGTAGTAGCACGCCGCTCCAACCGCAATGTATCTGGATGCTAGGATGTGCGGGACGTATTTCTTCTCAATAACATAGAAGGTACGCACAAGGTCTGCGCACACCTCTTGGCCTTCTTTTCTTCTCAACAAGGCCACTGTTCGACACTACAGACAGCCCTTCCCCTGAGCCCTGGTCTGACAGCCTGACAGCAAACCCCGGACAGCGCCTGACAGTGCCCGACAGCCCGACAGCGCTGACAGCACTTTCTCCGACAGTCTGACAGCACGTATCTGACAGTCTGACAGCAGAGTCTGACAGTCGAGGGGTCCCGTCGCTGTCAGGCCCTAACGTGACAGCCTGACAGCTGCCCGACAGCCCGACAGCACACAGTGGTCTGACAGCAGCGCTGACAGCCCGACAGCAGCACAGACCGTACACAGACCCCGTAGAGCCTCTTTCTTGTGCCCCATGAGGGTGTAACAAAATTACATGCAAAGACATGTGCATGTGAGTGTGGTCCATGTCCATGTCCATGTAGTCATGGGATGGTCATGGGTCTCTCTTTCAACCCTCCCGCCCCACCTCTGCGGACCCCTCTCTATCACCGGCGGCTGTGTGCTACTACAAATGAAGCTACCAGCTAGCCTTCTGGGGCCCTACAGCCATATGCCTACGGCGTCTGGGTGGGGGTGGCCACCGCCGTCTGTGCCGCCGCCGCCGCCTGCGCCTGCGCCGCCCTCTGCGCTCCTCAGGCGGCCGCCGCCGCCGGCGTGATCACGCCGTAGGAGGGGGGCAGCTGCGTAGCCGCCAGTAGAGTCCTGCTGGTCTCCTCTTGATAGTGTCATAAGTGTTGCTGGTGTGTGTCAGAGCCTGACAGCACCCCGACAGCACCACCTGACAGCACCTGACAGCAACAGCCCAACGTCTGACAGCAGCAGCAGCCTGACAGCTCCGACAGCTCCGACAGCGTCTGACAGCAACACCCGACAGCTCCGACAGCACCCGACAGCTACAGATCCCCTCGACTGTCAGACACGCACCCGACAGCACCCGACAGCACTGACAGCACCTGACAGCTGGTCTGACAGAGGCACCTGACAGTGCCTGACAGCTGCCCGACAGCCCGACAGATCACCTGACAGCACCTGACAGCCTGACAGCCAGGGCTCAGCCCTTCCCGACGGGGACGCCACCACCCTCGCCCAGGGATCCACAATGCTGTCTCAAGGTCCGACAGGTTCGGCACCGGGCACAAAATGCGCCTGCGGGCGGACCCTCACAGATCACAGATCACAAGGCTGTGAAGCAACATGCACATGCACCGGTAATGTGGGTTCATCATGTTCGTGCGTTCCGGCGGTAACCGAACGTGCAGGACCGGGATACATTGTAGTGGGTCATGCCGCTCCGGTCCGAGTGGCCGCCCGGCTCCGACCCGCCGTCCCCAGCGGGCACGAGCGAGATTCCATGGTGGAAGCAGCGTGTTCTCAGCCCGGGAGCTCCATCGATCGCCGTAGTTGAGAGGGAGGTTGAGGTGGCATCGCTGCGGGATGAGCTGAGGAGCGCACGCCGGCATCTTGAGGCGGCTGCCCGGCGAGAGGCAATGCTGAGGCAGGCGCTGCAGCAGGCGCATCAGGATGAACCTGCAAACCCCGGATTGGGAGGAAATGCTCCTTTACCCAGCCTCGAGAGTCGGTCGCGTCCCAGCTCGGAGCCTCGGTCCGTCCCACTATCCAAAGGCTTTGGCACGCTGGGGGAACCGGCACCGGCACCACCGCGACATCAAGCGCAGGGCGAAGCTATCGAGGCGATGTGGCTTGGGCTGAGGGACGAGGCAGTTCGCCCGTTGCTACCCTCCGTCGTCAAGGAGGCGATTCGCGCCGAGGTGGCGAGGCGGGTGCCACTGCGCCGCCGCCGGTCGTCGATAGGCGGCGCGACCGGCCAGGAGGGTCTCGTGCTCGAGCTCGCGCGTGCCGTCACCGCCGATGTCCTCGCCGAGGAGGGCCGTGCGGCCGTGCTGGCTGCGCTCCGGGCAGTCGCGCATGATTACACCGCGCAGATGCGAGCGGAGCGGGTGTTCGCCTCTCTGCTGACCGAGGTGATGCGCGAGGAGCTAGAGGGAGCGCGCTATCGCAGCAGCGCAGCCTCACCGAGAGATCGGGAGGCGACCGTGACCCTGCCTCGCTATGTCTGGACAAACGACACTCCGCCACTGTTGGCCGACGTGCTCAGGGGCGGGCCAGCCGGCCTCATCTACAAGTGGAGGTCCGAGACGCTCAGCCAGTGCACGCTCGAGTTGCTCCTCGAGCCACACATTGAGCTCGTCGCCCGTGCGGCGCTCCGGGAGGTGCGAGGTGCGCACGCGCGGCGGCGTGAGGCGGAGGAGCGTGAGCTTGTGACCGAACGCGCCGTGGCGACTGTGATCGAGCCTCTAATTCTCGAGAGGTTCACGCAGCTGGTGGCGACGAGAGCAGAGCCGCTGATCCTGCAGCGACACGCGGCGCAGTGGCTCGACGAGCTCTGTGCGGATGCGCTTTTCGAGCATGCGCTCGCGCAGGCGGGGAGGCACGCCGAGCTCGAGGCGAGCCCGGTACTCGCTCAGACGCACCGCGAGCTGGCGCAGGAGGCGATGCTCGACGAGATGATTGAGCAGGTGCTGAGCATCGTCCCATCCGGGCTGCACCCCGGCGCGGTCCCGTTGTCTCCGGAGGAGACGGACGAGGACGAGAATGGCGAGGGGTGACGGTGCCCTGACCAGAGTCACTACGTGCGTGCGTGGGAGCGAGCGGCGGATGCGGTCGGCCAAGTGTGTGAGTGTGTGACTTGTCGATGTGACTTGTGGCATATGACCTGTGCACGCCTCGACCCTCGTGCGCACCGCTGCGAAACATGGGTCGCTCGTTGCACCGTGCGCACCCAAAAAAAAAACGGTATATGACGATCATCCGGCCCGCTAGGTGCGCTTCTCAG